GAGAGAACTGAATTTCCCATTTTTGAGTGATTATCAATTGGACATATCTTAAAAAAAAGAGAGGGGATGGGGAACGCGTGAAAATGGAAACACTGTTAAACACTGCCTTCAGATCTGTCTATAGCTCTCCAGAGTTACTAAAACTGTGAAAACAACCTGAGCCTTGAAGATGGTTGAGCAGATAAAGATGCCTGTTGTCAAGCCTGTTTGAGGGTCTCTTGACATGGGGTATACTAGAATTGATTGTGAACTCTTACTTGTTTGGGCCTTTCCTCTTGTTTGCCTGGGGTGTGTGTGTGTGTGTGTGTGTGTGTGTGTGTGTGTGTGTGTGTGTGTGTGTGTGTGTGTGTTTCTTCCCTCTTCCTTGGTGCATTTGACACCTTACTTGTGCATGTTGCCATCAGAAACTGAGTCTTTAAGCCAGCACACTCCTCCTGATCCACAAATGCATGTGCCCAAGTGGGATGTGACCACAGAACTCTCTGAGCACACTAAGCAAGGGACTAATTACCAGGGCCGTGGCTGGACACGTGCCCCCGATTTTTATCACAAAATGGAGCCTCTAGTGTGTAGTGCTGAGCCTTTCTGTGGCTTCTCCTGTCTTCTCTGCCTGCCTCTGCTGCCACAGGCCTCCAGGCAAAGTGTCTGGGAATTTGACACTAAGAGGACTTCATGCTTTTCCGTCTGTGGGCACTGTAGGGAGATGTGCAGTGCCAGCTTTAATGAGATAAGACAATCATATATAATTGGATTGTTCTTAAGCCAATTAAGAATACATGTGTGAGGATAATTAAAATGGAATTAAACGTTCTCTATAAGAGCGAATTTAGTTAAGCCGTTCTGTCTTTTTGTCAGAATTATAAAACATAGCTTTGCTTAGGTGGACATTTTGAGCATACATCTTTATTTGGTTTAGTCATAAATGACTGTGTGCCACTCGGGGGAGAGGGTGGTGGTAGTGGTTCTCCTTGTCTTCTTCCTTCTTCCCTTTCCCCTCCCTTCCTCCTCATTCCTCCTCATCTTCCTCCTCCTCACCTTTCATTAAGAGAGTTTCGGATAACGATAAAGTTACCTACACTACATTAAGTAAATTATTAAGCTATTTATATTTTGCTTACTGTATGTGAGAGAAAGCCTACTGGTTACTTTTTATGTGTAACTTTTTCTATCTTAAAATTAACTTCGGAAATGTATAAACTTAAAGTAGTTTTAGGGCTTGGGGATTTGGCTGAGTAGATAAAGTATTTCCTGTACCAGCCTGAGGACTTGAGTTTGATCTCTAACGCTCATGTACAAAGCTGTCCATGAAGGCATACACTTATAATCCCATTTCCAGAAGGATCTGTGGGGCTCACTGTCATGTAGCCTAGCCAGTTGCTGATACTCTAGCATCAGTGAAAGACTGTCCCCCAAATACGAGGTGGAGAGCAATTGAGAAAGACATCCCATGTCAACACTAGTTTCCCCACAAATGTGCATACATGTGAATGTGTAGCCTCATATATGCCTACCCCCTCCCACACATGAATATGTGCATACAATAAAATCAGTTTATCTTTATTCAGCAATATTGTCAAAAATTCACAATGCTGTATTGTTCATTAAAAAATCTGCTTTTAATTATATCTGCCCATTAAATCAGTCCTGTGTCTAGAACTGTGTCCATGTTTTTCATTACTGTTTGTGATTATACAGTTTCTTCTCAGGAATTTCTAATTTTGTTAGCTTAATTTAAAAAAGTACAGCCTTTTAATATTGATAGCTATCATTATTCTTTTCTACCACATGGATCTCCGCTCCTTTGTTGAGTTTTTATTCAGTGCTCATTTTATTAAATTCATGATTTGAGCTCTTAACTCTTGAATGTTCAAACTTTCTCCCCTCCCACACTGAAATGGGCAATTTAATTTTAAAATCAATTAGCACAGCATTCTATAAATGCTGGCATTATTTTTCCCCAACTTCTGAGAAACATGTACTAGATGTGGGGGGCTCGAAGGGTTGCTGGCCTTCTGTTGTGAAGCTTAAAGTAAACCTTTTCCATTGGAGAAAGCACTGGGGGTTTATGTCAGTGCTACAGTATTTATGGAGACTCACTGGTCAGTTGTGGTGGATTTCCTTGCTAGCCCTCGAGTGACAGTGCAGTGCCTGCCTCTGATAGCTTAGTGCGGTTCACTGGCTTCAGTTTATTGCATGAGTATAGGTGTTGATTTATGAAAGCATTCTGTGTGTTTAAAGTTACTTTTTAATTTGATATGTTAGTTTTTATCCGTGTCTGTTGAGACCTCTCCTACCATTGTAATGACAGTTTGTTTTCTTACTTCTCTCAGCTGCATGTTTTGAACCTGTCCTGTTTATTCGGAGGCTCAGATCATTCCTTACACATGCAATGGATGGCCAGTTCCATTCTCAGCAATGTTTCCTATGTTTGTTCTTTCTTGGCTAAGTCAATATGGTGTTGTTTATTTTTGTTGTTTTCAATCTGTTATTAGTATTTTTCGGCTTATCTAGGTGAATTTTTATCTCTTGAAAGCAATAGATATCTGGACTTTTTACATTTTAAATCTCATATAAAATTTTGGTTATGTTTGTTGTGATTTTCTTGGACTTAATTTTAGTTTTCTTTCCTCTTCTTCAGTGCCTGCCATTTGATGTTTTTCTTCTGTTTATTATTTTGGAAATTTATTCCTTTTATGTTCTTCTATGGCTACCTGTAGAGTTTTAATAAAACTTACTCTCATTGCCCGTGTTTTATACATATTCTCATTTCAAGTGCATCATTTCTATATACATAACTTATTTCCACTTTGCTTTAACTTCTGTTAGTCGTTAGTGATATTTCTTAAAATTAGTGTCTATATTGACGCACTCATGATTATTTGGCTTTTAGTTCCCCTTTGCTGCTACAGTTGTGCATTCCCTTCTTTGATAGAAATTATTGGTCAATCACATCCAGTAGTCGCTCTGTCGGCAAGATATTCTTAGGAATAGGATTTCTGTTCTGGATATTTAAATGTCCTTGAATGTTGCCATTTTGAGAAACACAGTTCCAAGTCGATCTTCTTTTCCCGTGGTCCTGTGAAGATAGCACGCTGTCTCTGTTCTCTATTAGAGACTTTCTGTTCATCTCATCGCTCTTCCTTATGACTAGTTCTTGTACAAGATGGCTGCAGAGAATTTTTATTTCTGATGTTTGGACAGGTTTCAACTTAGATGGAACTGGGAACGAGTACATATTTTTCATGAGATTTGGTGTTCTACTTTAGCTGAGAGCCCTTATATTAAGAATATTTCCCTCAAAGATTTCAGACATCACTTTCTGCCGTCCTCAGCCTCTCTCATTCTAAAGCAATGTAGATAGGCATTCTGACCATGTGTAGCAGTCCCTGTAGTTCTTTGCTTTTAATTTATTGTTTGGGAATTTCAATATGTGTATCATAGTTTGATCAAATCCATTCAAATCCCTCCTTCCAACTTGTCCCATATACCACCACCACCACTTTTCCATCCCAAATTCATATGCTCTTTTGTTGCCTACGTTCACATGGATGTAGGGCCATCCATGAGAACATGGGAAGCCTATCAATGGTTTAAATTGAATAAAACAGAACAAAACAAAATAAAACAAAAAACTTTCTCCTCAAAAGCGATCAGTTGTTGATAACTTCTCAGCCCACTCCACAAGACAGAATTCACACCTGGTATTGTAAGTTGGTCCAATCCCCCATGGCTGGGAGAATGTACTACTATTGTTCTGATAAATGAACTTAATCTTCTACTGCCTCCTGAATGCTTGTCTTTATACCCATAGATTATTTCTGTTCTCAGCCCTTTTGAGAGAAGCTTCTTTTGGCAGTAGTGATTAACAGGGAGGCTCACAACTGACTGACACGCCTTGCATTTTTGTCTTTAGTCTTTCCTTTGTGTTTAATCATTTAAAACAAAGATCAGCGCATTGTTTGTTTGCTTGTTTTCTGTAAAGGACCAGAAAGTAAGTAGTAGAGGTTTTATGGTGTACTAGATTTCTGCTACAGCTCTTCCACTGTGCAGCATGTTGCAAAAGCAGACCAGAGCAGTCCAGAAACTACCAGGAATGACTGGGTCTTAGCAAAACTTTATTCAACAGAACAGGCATGGGACTAGATGTATACTCTATAATCACAGGTAGCTCAAGTACCCAGCAATTCCTTCTTCTGTTGTACATATCAGCTGACAGGACCTTATAATAGACTGTTGTTTCATTTGTTGTGATTTCCAGTTATGGAGTCTATTTACAGATTCCACTGGACACCAGGATGCCTTGAATTGTGGAATGGTCTGGAAATGTATATTTACCCCTCAGATCTTGCATCTGGAATTTTTATCAGCATTTGCTTCTCAAATTATCATTCTCAAAAACTCCATTCAAGGAAATTCTGTAAGATTATCTGTGCTTACTGTTTGAAACACGGTGGGAGTGCACAACTGCTGTTGCTGTTGTCTGCTTATTAAAATGAGGAGTACTGAGCAGGGATGTAGCTCAGCTGGAGAGCATTTGCTGAGCATATTCAAGACTCCTGTCTTCGATGCCCAGTACTACAAAATAAATAAATTAAATTAATGAGGTGTTGCTATCATTAGAGTTGAGTTTTAGAGACCATAATTTTTTTGTTCATTTATGCTGCTAAATGTTTTGAAAATTCTAATCAATTTCCAATTTATAATTACCTGTACCACATACACAGGAGCCTTAAGGATGATGATAGCCTCAAGTTCAAGGCTAGCGTGAATTGGCAGTGAGCTCCAGGCATGCCTGGATTGCACTGTAAGACCTTGTTTCAGAAAAATAAAACCAAATAAAAAGACATTCATAATTACAAGGCTTTTAAAATCAGGACCTGATGCTAATTTAATTAAATAGTTATTGATTGAAATATAGCTAAGATAGATATAAACCTTAATAATAAAGGTTTTTTTTTTATTTCTTCTCTGGAAATCACCTCTTCCTTTATTCATCACAGGACACTTGAAATGGACCAAAGCTGAGGACATTGACATAGAGACCCCCGGATCGATTCTCGTCAACACTAACCTGAGGGCATTAATAAACAAGCACACCTTTGCTTCCTTCCCACAGCATTTTCAGCAGTATCTCCTGCTTCTGCTCCCAGAAGTGGACAGGCAGGTAAGTGGAGCTCTGCACCTTCCATGCCAGTCCCCATCATACAGTGTAGTCTGTTGTCAAGGCGACTGGTGTCTGAGTGGACCGCTTTACAAAATGTAGTATATAATTTATTTATTCTGTTCAGTTACTGCTGCTGTTGGTCTAGTCCTTTAGTCTGCCAAAATGAAACTATTATTTTTAAAATTCTTAGTAATGAGCCTACTCAAAATTCAAATCACAGTACACTATAGTAGAATGAAAACTTGGCCTACCCACATTGGGAAAGGAAAAGAGAAAAATCAAACATTCTACTATCAAATAAATCTTTGAAGTAGCTGCTCCTTTGCCTAGAAGGAATATTGAAATTTGGTAATAAAAAAAACAGGGTTTCTGAGAAATTATGTTAATGCTTTTATTCTAACTCTTTCCAAATGACATTTAAAATTTGTGTTTGCATTTTCCTTCTGAGTGCCCATCATCAAGAATATGGTGCCTATAAATAATCACCTTTAATCTTTTTGCTATAACTAGAGATGCCCTAAATATATTTTTAGAAAGCTTCTAAACTAAAGAAATACAAATATAGGCTTGTAAAAGGAGGCATCAATCAACTTCTAAACTGTTCTGTAAGGGAAGAGAAGGAAAAAACTCCATGAATTTTTGTTATATGTCAAAAAATTATTAAATTCTATCTTGAAAATATATTTTCTGTGATTCTTTTTTATTGGCATAATATATCCATTGTTCTGTAATTCTTATTTCAGTAAATTCTGATGCTGCATTTTTCAGTTCATATATTTAACTAATGTATGTGTACTTCAGAATTTATATTTTGAACAGATAGGTCCATTTGTGAACTGAATTAGGCAACACTGATTCTATACTTCTACACCTTTCTGAATTATTTTGACAGCTTTCTATATGGTTTAGTTTTCTACTGACTTGCCCACCTCTTTTCATATAAATTTCATTTTGATAACTAATAGCTTGTTAAAATTCCTACATATCTCTTTAATATATTCTTCTTTTTGAAAAGATTAATTTGCCTTCAGATACATGTCATTGGGGGGTTTGCCACTGCTGAACAAAAAAATCATCATCTTTTATTGTGACTCCAGTATATTTTAGATGCTTTAAGATAGTAGACATAAACGATTAATCAATGCTCATGTCATGAATGATTAAATACACTGTGCTTGGGTGCATGTACTTTTTACAGATTGCTAAAATGTGAGGAGAAATGGACAAGCTTAGACTAATAGAAGATCACAGTGCCTTTCTAAGCACAAATGCAAATGGAAGTATCAGAGACAAATGTAAGAGTATTTCTTTAACCTGCAGATATAGACAGAATTGGAACAAAATGGGTAGAAAAATTTCCATAACAGAGATACAGAATTAAGAAATTAAGAGTTAACCAGTGGGAGTCTCTGTTATTAGAAGAACAGTAGACTTTGTAAACTTTGTAAAGACACTAGAAATAGACTTTGGAGAATTCCTTTAGTATTGAGCTGAAGTGACTGAGCCTTGTCCTCAGCTACCTGCAGTCAAAGCCGAGGTCTTTTGAGTAGAGTACAATCTAGAAATACCATTGCTTTTGAAGACTTTCCCATGTAATTGTCTTTGTTAGGTGACATTTCTCCCCTCATTATTAGTGTATAGTGATTGTATAAAATGATGATTTCCCTTATTAAATTTCTATACATGTGTATAATAGCATTTATCATATCCATGCCCTTGTCATCTGTGGAATCCTTGACCCCACCTAGTGCTGGTCAACTTCCTCTTCCCGAAGAGTCTCCCTTCCATCTCATTTCATTTTAAGAGCACTGGTTTTTAAGAAAGTAATTTCTGATTACTGGAAAGGAATGCCAAACATGGGAAACATGAAAGCAGGAATAATCAGTGTACTATTTAAGTTCTGAGGGGGATTGGCACTGAAATAAAAAAATGAAGAAAATATAGTCATCACTATCCTTGTTCTTTCACTATCCCTCCTGCTGTTCCTCCTCTTCACCCTACTCTTCTTTCTGGCCCTCTTTCTCTATCTTTTCGTCCCCCTCAAAAATATATGATTTCCGTTTTGATTCATAACCTTTGAAAGAACTTATAGGGATGAGCCATGGATAGTCATTTTATTTGTTTGTTTGATTGAAAATGGAATTCAGGAGTCAAGAAGAACCTTTGGAGATTCATTTTTAGCATACACAGTTGTTTTCTCCATTTGGACATGTATGTGATTTATATTGTTTACACTAAGGTGTAGCATACACCACATACACAGTAAGTACTAGTGAAATGAAGAAATAACAAATTGTCCTAGATTTAGCCAAAGATTCACTAACCCAAGAGACCATGGTGTGAGCCTGATATTTTATTCAAGCTACAGCAGTTTATATTACTCCATTTATTTCCTAGCTACTGTAAGAAAGAAATATAAATGAATTTGGCACAATACCCACTCGTGAATAACATTTATCCCTTTGGGAGATTATTTATTCAAGAAATATTTACAGAGCATGCATTGAGTGTTGTCTACTTGATGAATGCAGGGAGTGTGTGAGTTAGCTGTGTGGGTAGGCATAAGAGAGCAGAAAACCTCACATTGCAATGCAGTGCCCTTTCTTTGTAATTAAGGAGTAAGATTAATGGATGTGTAGGTCTACACCAAATTTAGCAAGATGACTGGGGCATGTAAGTGTAAAAACAGAAGCATAAAGTCCTGTACAGTCATTGAAAATGAAAGCAGTTAACCCAAATGCAGTATTAGAGAAAACTGTAGTGGGGAAGAAGGGTGAAGTGAAGCCCGAAAGCACTGAAAAGTGCTTTTAACGTAAAGAGCATCTTCCAGAAGGAGAACTTGGCATTTGCAAACTGCCCACATGACTTTCCAGTAGATTCAGTCCTCTGTATGACTGACATTGGGAGGAATTCTAGAATACTATGAAGAAAGGAACCTTGCCCTGCAAACTTTAAGACCTGGTTTCAGGCTAAATAGATTCTTGGAACTTTGTGTGAAACCAGTAGAAACCATCAACGATTTTTTCAAATGAGAACTGATGCACACATATAATTAGTGCCTAGACACAGAAGAGGATGAGAGGGTTAATAAACATGCAATGCTTATTTTTTCTCAGGAGCCAATAGCCCTGTGAGTGATGGATAGGACAAGTGAGACAAAGGGGAACTGGGTTGCAGTTGTTTAGATAAGAAATGGTGGTCTGACCTTGGGAATTAGCCTCGGAAATATAAAGAAACCACAGAATTCTATACTTATTTTCACCACAGTAGGTCCAATAGCAGATTGTCTGTGGTGTGGGGTTCTTGAAGGGGCAGAAAACAACTAAGATTTTAGCTTTGGGAATTTGGAAGGACATAGCCCACTATTGGCCTTGTCAGCATTTGGAAAAAAGAAATTTGGACCGTATTTTCTCTTCTCTCCCCTTCTCTCTTCCTCTTTCTTTCTTCTCCTCTCATTCCCCATTTCTCCCTCTATTACACTACAAAAAGTAGTTCCTGTCTCCTCTGAACAAAGTGGGCTTGATATTGTCACCTGGAAGAATAATGTGTGGCTGACTTGATACAAGCTGCCTATGGTACTGATCTCTGACTTTAGCTTAAAAGTTTCCAGATTGCTACAAATACCAGTTTCCTAGACTAGAATGAGTGAGGAAGGAAGGAGAATGCAATATGATTGCATCAGTTTATTTGAGCCCTTGGGAGAGTCTATAATTACATGGAATCCCTGGGCGTTTTATTGGGCGAAGACTCCTACCCAAAGTTTGAAATTCCTAATTGCTCATGTTTTGCTTTCCTGAATTTTCCAAGTTTCTGCCTCCTTACCAGCCCAAAACAACCCTGTAGGATCCCTAACCTTGGAGTTCATTACATGATTGCATCCTTAAATATAAAAATCTATATATCCCCTTTTGTCTTGCCACCGTTAGCTCCCATGAAGCCAACCTCTACAACCTCCTGCTCTTCTGCCTTTTCGCAACTCTGTTCATAGGACTGTTCGTCTCCAATCATAATTTATTTATTTCTAATTGTTTTATTACTTTGTTATATGTAGTTGACTATAGCTGAAGTTTTCCTGGTCCACAGCCTCTCAGACCCAAGTAAACACACAGAGGCTTATATTAATTAAAACTGCTCGGCCATTAGCTCAAGGCCTACCACTGACTAGATCTTAACACTTAAATTCAGCCCATTTCTGTTAATCTATATGTCGCCATGTGTTCCGTGGCTTTACCTGTGTGCCATTACGTGCTGCTCCCTGGACAGCAGGGCTGGCATCTCCTGACTCAGCATTTCTCTTCTCAAAATTCTCCTTGTCTGCGTATTCTGCCTGGCTACTGGCCAATCAGTGTTTTATTAAACCAGTGTACCAAAGCATTATCCCACAGCAGTTGACATTGAATTTACTCTTCACATATTATATAGCAAGTAACAGAAAATCCATCTAAACTGACTTAAGCCTTAAGGGGATTTATTGGTTTAGGTATGTAAGATAATAGGGGTTCATGTATTAAGGCATGTTTTTGGTTGTTTATCTTGGGATTCAGTTATTGTAAAGGAACCATTGCATTATTTGACTAAGTGAATTTTGTAAGAAAGTTGATGTTTTAAATATAAGTCCCTTTGTGACAGAATCACTATCTGAATTTTTAAAAATAGGTGTTTACCTCTTGTCACACCTTCATGGGGAAAAAAATACATCTATCCCAGTATTTTTTTAAAAAGATTTATTTATTTATTATGTATACAGTGTTCTGCCTGCATGTATCCCTGTAGGCTCAAAGAGGGAACCAGATCTCATTACAGATGGTTTTCAGCCACCATGTGGTTGCTGGGAATTGAACTCAGGACCTTTGGAAGAACAGCCAGTGCTCTTAACCTCTGAGCCATCTCTCCAGCCCCTGTCCCGGTATTTAGAACAAAGCCCCAAGATTCACACTCACAGTTGCTGCTGAGGCCACTTGATCTCTTATCCAGCCATGACTGAGGCTGATGGAATGGAA